GCCAAAAAAAAAGCATTCTGATTTTGTTTCCTAAGGCAGATGGAGCTGCCACTTCCCTGACCCGTGGTCACCCTCACATTGTTACTACCAATATTTTATTTTTAAAGTATATTTTTATTGATTTGAGAGAGGAAGGGAGAGGGAGAGGGAAACATCAATGATGAGAGAGAATCATTGATCGGCTGCCTCCTGCGCGCCCCCTGTTGGGGATGGAGCCTACAACTCGGGCATGTGCCCTGTCTGGAATGCAACCGGGATCCTTCAGTCCACAGGCCGCCACTCTTATCCACTGGCCCAAACCGGCTATGGCTGCATTTTGTTACTTTTAAAGCTTGAGTGAAAGCCACTCCTTGTGACTGTTGCAGACGAGGACATGGGCCACAGCCTGGTCTCCTGAGGCCCAGCAGGACAGTTGGTCTCTGACTTGACGGATGCTACCCTAGGGCTCCGGGAGAGATGTTTTCTGGCAGTGACAACAGCAAGTAGATAAATCAGAGCGCAGAGAAGGAAACGGAGAGTGAAAAGCTGAGTTCTTGTCTCTAATGATAGAATCAAATAGAAAAATGTCTCCCCAGGTGCCTCCTCAAGTCATGGCTGTGCTCAATCACGTCTGCTCGGGGCTTCCTGTGCAGGGCAGCGGGCTCAGCGCTCTCTTCTGGAAGTTTCCATGACAAGGGGGCCTGTCTCTTTTTCCCGGCATTGGATGGAGCCTGGTTGGTGTGTGCAAAGCTTTAGGGTGGGGAGGCGTTTGGTTTTGGGTGTGGGAGGTGGAGTGTGGGCAGAGCCTTTATCTGTAGGATTTGCTGTGAGTCTTTGGTAGGAAGAATGTTTTGGTCAGATTTCTGCTTGGACCCTGTTTCCTCTGCGGTAGTTAAGCAGGCAGAGAGCATCTGCTGTTTGCATGGTGCATGGGCATCTCGGTGGCCCTGGTCCATCTGGCCAGCTTCCCAAACCAATGGCGATGGACCCTCCGAGGGTCTCCCTGCTGGGTTCGCGGGTCTTTGTTTCCAGGGAACAGCGGAGATCCGGCCCCCCGCACCACTGGCCTCCCTGGGTGGCCCTTTATTCCACGCCTGGTTCGGATTCTCCAGGAGCAATTTAAGGCCATAGCATATGCGGGACATAACTGGTCCATCCATTTACTATCCAGGTCATAAAAGAGTGTGAGTGATCATGAGGAGATGTTAGCACTTATCGGCTGTAATGGGAAGCCACTAAATTTGCTTTGGGAAGTGTTTAGAGGAACCCACTGAACGGAATCAATATGAATTAAGGCCTCTTAGTTCCCCGCAGAGAGGAGGAAGGGCTGAAGGGACTGGCGCTGGGACTGTGGGTGGAAATGTGCGCGCATTGGGGGGAGTAGCCGTGCGCCTCCGGCCCCAGCTCCTGAAAAGCTGGAAAGAGAGAGAGGCCTGTGAGCAGCCGTCAGGTCAGATGCCGAAGGCCTGGAGATGGAAAGGAATAGAGATACTGCACGTGTCAAACAGCCTGTTCACAGCTGGCCCTTTCCCGTGGCTCTCAGGACGGAAGGGGACCAAGCCATGCCATGCTCAGGCCAAGCACGCACCTCCCTGCTGACAAGACCTGCCCTGGGGCGCCCGCAGAGCGGGTCACCAGATAGGGGCCCGCTGCGTGTCGGTGGCTATGTCCCTGACCCGGCTGCAACCAGGGGGAGGTGACACATCCCATCTCGAGTCAGGCTGACATTTCCCACTGAAATGACTGCGAATTTGCTTTGGCCTCTTTCGGCCGAGCCACTGCCAAACGCCTAGATTCCTCGATGGGCCATTCAAGGGGCTTCTCTGGCTGGCTCTGCTCTGAGGTTGCTGCTTTCCAGCGTGGGGAGGGAGCCAACGGAGCTCATTACCAGGGGACAAAGCCCAGTGAATGGGGCCGCGGCTCTGCTGGCAGGCGTTTTGGTACAGCCCAACGTGGAGCCAAGCCTCACAGCGTGGTGACACAGTGACCCGTGGGTGACACGTGGCGCTCACTGTCTTCCTCGAGGGACAGGCAGGCAGAGTGGCAGAGAAGCCATTCGATGGGGGTCCAAGGGGACCCTTTGGGAGTCCACTCATACTACCAGTCCAAGGGGTGACCTTCCCGTGGCCCAGGGGCCTTAGCTGCCCCGTTTCTCCAAGTTCAAGACATAGCACGTTTATTGTAGGTAAGAATAAGTAGCGAATGCCATGGACTCACTGTGCCCTTTTTTATTTTCAGTCCTCACCCAAGGATATGTTTATTGACTTTTAAGGGAGAGAGTGTGTGAGAGAGAAAGAAACATTGATGTGAGAGAAAAACATCGTTCGGTAGCCTCCTGTACACTCCCCAACTGGGGATTGAACCGGTAACCAAGATATGTGCCCTGACTGGGAATCGAACCTGCAACCTTTTAATGTACAGGATGATGCTTCAACTGCCCGAACCACCTGCAGGCATCACTGTGTCCTTCCTCTTAGGTTTCTATATCAATTAGTTTTGTCTTGTTTTTAATCTTTGAGGAGGAACAGGCCAAGATGAGAGTGTGAAAAGATTGTAAAAATAACTTTATTTCTAGTTAAAAAGTATTAACACCATTGACAACTTGGGAAGTATAAAGAAAGTATAATTAGAAAATAATTACTCTTAGCTTTATGATTGTCTTAAGTCTTTCTGCATTGATATTCTTTTCTACAAAAAATGTGTTTATACTAAGTAGTGCTTTGCAATGATCATTTCTCTCTTAATATTTCATGAGCATTTCTGTGTCACTAAATATTCTGCGATGTTATTACTGCATCCTTACTATTCCCTCCTGGATATCTACCTTAATATTTAATGCCCTCTGTGGTTGGACATGGGTTTTTAAAGTTCTTGCTGTTATGAATGAAGCAGACAGGTAAACTGCGGTCTGGGAGGCTAAGTAATTTGTCCAATAACTTAGCTGGACGGGCCCGGCTCCAGGTCTGAGAGTGGCGTTCTTTGCAGGTGTGTCTGGATGCTGTCACAAGGCTGGGGTGGAGGAGGGGACTGGTGGGTGGCCCAGGGGTTAAGTGTAAGTCAGGACACTCCACAGGGCAGCCTGAGGCCCGCAGGACATAACAGTTACAGGAGCCAGGGAGGTGGGAAGAGAGCAGGTGTCTCAAAGCCGGGCAGAGAGAGGGGCGCAGGAAGGAGAAGAGCCAACAGTTCGGGTTAGGGTTCCAGAAAGGGCTTGTGTCCCGATTCCTGGCGCTTTGAGGAGAGATGGGCATGGCTCGGAGCTGAGACTCTGAAACTCTGGGGCGGGACAGCTGGCGTGTTCCATGCTCTGCTTGCCTCTCCGGAACTGTGGGCTCTGTGCCCCCACATGGCTGGTCATTCCGCGTGGGAACCACAGAGCCATTAGGAGATGGACCTTGGGTTGTGGTAGAAATCTGCTCCTTACAACGGGCCACATGCTGTTTCTGGTTCTGGTTCTGCTCTCTAGGCCCGCCCTGAAAAATTGTGATCCCTCTTCCAGGTTTTGCTAATTCCTCAAACTGCTGCACACCAACCTCACATGGGTGGGGAATGGACTGAAGCTTACCTCCTCTGGGCCAGGACGGACCTTCCTTCCTCCCTCTCTCTCTCTCCCTCTCTCTTTCTTTCTTTTCTCCTCACCTGAGGATCTTTTTCCCCCCATTGATTTTTACACCGAGTGGGAGGGAAGGAGTGAGAGAGAGAGAAATG